TCAGTACTTGGACATATGGAGAAGCCTTATGACCAAAGTGATGTACTAGGGCCAAAATGACCCAGGGGATATAGAAGATGGCAACAGCACCAATGTGAGAGACGCAGGTGCCAAAGGCCTTATTTCTCTCCTCTGGCGAAGCGATGCTACGGATGGATTTAATGATTAGCACATAGGAAAGGAAAATGCAGGGAATGTCAACACCAGATGTCAGAATGAGAGCAATTAAGCCACAGATGCTGTTAACCTTGATACTTGAGCAAGAGCACTTAACACATCAGGGTGATAGCAGTAGGAGTGAGAAAGCATATTAAAACCACAGAAGGACAACCGCTTAAGAAGCAGCAGCAAGGGCATCAGGTTGAACAGCATTCGTACAACAATCACTACTCCAGCTTTGATGATTCTGGAGTTCGTTAAAATCATAGCATATCTTAAGGGGTTGGAGATGGCAACAAAACGGTCAAAAGCCATGGTCAAAAGCTCAGAGGACTCCATGAGGGTAAATCCATGCAGAAAGAACATCTGCACAATGCAGGCATCTAGGCTGATGATCCTAGCATTGAACCAGAGGACACCCAGTGTTGTGGGAAGAGAAGAAATGGTGATGCCCATGTCAGTGGCTGAGAGCATGGAGAGGAAATAGTACATGGGCTCATGGAGGCTGGAGTCTGTGATCGCCACATAGAGGATAGTGCTGTTCCCTAAGAGGGCGATCACACAGAGGCAGCAAAAAGGAATGGAGATCCAGATGTGGAAAACTTCCAGCCCTGGAACTCCCATCAAGAAGAAAGTTGTGGAAGTGAAGTTCCCAAGAGATAGCATGGTGGTCTGAGTGAAGTGTCACTCTCCTTCAGTAAGTTCCTGCAATGATACATTCCATTCAGTCAAAACTACTCTCTGTCAGGCACTTTGATAATTATTTTAATAACTATACCTCATGTAATCCTTGCAGCTACTTTAGAGATAGATCTTATATATCATCTCCTTTTTACAGATAAGTAAAAAGAGGCTTAGATAGGTTAAGTTAATTAACTAAACACAGATAAAAGCTAAGTCTTTCTGATCTAACACCTTTGTTCTTTCTACTATATCATGCTTAGCACATGCTATGAGCAGCCAGGCTGGGACTAGGCTGAGGTGACTAGACTCCAAAAGACTCAGTGATCAAGACAAATATCATTTTTATTGCAATAATTAAAAAAATCAAAATTAATGCAAAAATTCATGAATATAATGCTTAATAAAGACCAGTGTTATACTGAGCGATATTGAAGCCTGAGATAAAAGGAAGCATGTGTACCCCTATGTACTTTTTTTATGTATATTTAATAGTTAATTTTTTTCTGGAACATTAAAGTAGTTGAAAAATATTGAAAGATTAAAAAGTAGGCATATTAAAACCAGGAGCCCTGGTGGAACAATGGTTAAGTGCTCGGCTGCTAATCGAAAGGCCCATGGTTTAAACCCACCAGTGGCACTGTGGGAGAAAAGATATGAGGATCTGATCCTGTAATAATTGCAACCTATGAAACCCTATGGGGGAGTTCTACTCCATTATATAGGGTTTCTATGTGTCAGAATTGGCTCTATGGCACACAACAACAACAATATTAAAACTTACACTATTATTTTAAATATTTTATTTATAAAAAATGGAATTTATTATAATTTTATTTCACATCAAGTCAATTACAATTATCTAAAATCATCATTTGGTCAAGAGTTCTGTCAAACATGGCAATTCTCTCAGTTGAAAATGAGATAAGCAAGGAAGTAGATTTTGAAAATATTATTGATGAGTTTATTACATTAAAGTTAGATGTGCACATTTATCCCCTTGCCTTAGGTTCCATATGGCTTGGCACAGCATTTTTCTTTATTTAAAGTTGGATATTTTGTTAATCATAGATCAAAAAATAATTTTGTTTTTTAGAAAATTATTGCATTAAATATTATTTATGTTGATTATTGATTTTTTGGTGTCCCCTTAAATTTTGTGCATGAGGCAAACCTCACTCTCATTCCCTTACCCTTGCTCTGGCCTATCCTTGGGCTAAATCTCCCCGCGCTAGCATGAATGAGGCCAAGAAGAATTTTCAGAATTCTGAGTTTTGCAGGAAAGTATGAATGTCCACTTTTTTTTTTTTTTTTTTTTTTAACTTTCTAGAGAGTTGCTTTGGGATTTTTTCCCCAATTACACACCTCTGGTTCCACCTCCTTCCCCACTATCCCAAAAACGCCCAGGTGTGTAGGAAAGAGACACTGCCTCCTCTTTCAAATTTCTACTCCAACTTCTCCCACCT